TCTGCAAGAAGTAAAGTTATGGGTTTAAAGAGTTAAGTTTGATAGTTAGTACAAATAAACAAATAGTAAAGTACTCTGCAAGAGGCAAAACACACAAAGTTATGGGTTTAAAGAGTTAAGTTTGATAGTTAGTACAAATAAACAAATAGTAAAGTACTCTGCAAGAGGCAAAACACACAAAGTTATGGGTTTAAAGAGTTAAGTTTGATAGTTAGTACAAATATACAAATAGTAAAGTACTCTGCAAGAGGCAAAACACACAAAGTTATGGGTTTAAAGAGTTAAGTTTGATAGTTATTACAAATAAACAAATAGTAAAGTACTCTGCAAGAAGCAAAGTTATGGGTTTAAAGAATTAAGTTTGATAGTTAGTACAAATAAACAAATAGTAAAGTACTCTGTAAGAAGCATGATTAATTTAAACTTTGAAAAATGATTATGTAATTCCAAAATTTGTTGTTTATAACTGTCATACTCACACTTGGTTTCAACACATTCATATCCCTTCACACTCACAATACTAAATAAAGACATCACAATTTCTAAAGGATTTTCTAAACGTGTGTTTATGTGCATCTCCAGTAACTAATGAAAGAACCACCACAAGAGAACGACGCTCTTTATTTGTGGTATCTTTAAATAAGCACCATTTACAAAACATTATGTAATGACTAATGACAGCAACCTCATGAAAAAAAGTTAAACTTTATTTTTTAAACATTTTATTACTACTTCTATAACAAAACAGATGGAAGAAAATAATTACCTGTCCATCTTCATTAACCATGATATTGTCAGGGTTACGATCTCCAATTCCCAAGATGAATGTGGCTACACAATATCCAGCACAGGAACATGTGAAAGTTTCAATAGCTTGTTCATACCTAATTCAAAAAAAAAAAAATTCAAAGATGAGACAAAAAATGCTCAAGTTAAATTAAGTATCTAGGTTAGTTCATATATAAAAACTTCATAATATGATGAATGATACTTTAAATTACTTAAATGTTTATTTTCCATTAAATTTCAAGGTGAGTTTCTCAATACTTCATAATATGATGAATGATACTTTAAATTACTTCAATGTTTATTTTCCATTAAAATTTCAAGGTGAGTTTCTGCATACTTCATAATATGATGAATGATACTTTAAATTACTTCAATGTTTATTTTCCATTAAAATTTCAAGGTGAGTTTCTCAATACTTTTTTTAGTTTCTTACATATTTCCTTTGTTTTTATCTTTGATCCACTTGTGAAGTTGTGTGGAATCTACTTGGAAAGCTGCCATTCGACCACCTTTCCTCTGGATGTTCATTACTGTTTTGGCATTCCGTACCACTTCAATCATACCCACTTGTTTCCCGGTAGCCAGACAGGCATACGGAAGCATCCTGCAAGTTACGAAAGCATTCAAAAGATCATTAGAAACCAGTCATTGAGGTCATTATTTAGCACATAAACTTATAATACAAGACTAGAATTTCATATTTTTAAATCCTTTGTCAAAATATCACACTTTAATGTACATGTTTTTACTATGTTTCTGCCGAACAATGTGATAAACTCAATAATATTAATATCATTTAAAGTTGAACTTGATGCTTGACCACAGGCAAAATCATAAAATCTTTAAAACCAACTGCTTATTCTCATTCCTTAGCCCCATACATTGATTTGCTTACATTATCAAATGATGAGTAAACTCATGCATTAACTCAAAAGACAGTAATATTGAACTGAATCAGAAATTATTCAAACATGATATTTAATGTAATTATTAACAGTATTAAATTTAAGAACCACTGTGAATTTGAATAAATAAGGTACCTACAAAATATTTAACTAAATTTGATTAAATTTTCAAATCAGATCTATTAAAGCAAATAGAATTGTTTAAAAATCAGACACGTATAAAAATTACAAGTTAACTTGTAATATGAAAGTTATAAAGAGTAGTTAGTAGTGATATTTCAGTTCAATCTGAGTAAAAGGAAGTTTATCCTCATCTGCTGTGATTCAGTTACTAATTCATTTTACTCAGATTGAACTTGTAATATGAAAGTTATAAAGAGTAGTTAGTAGTGATATTTCAGTTCAATCTGAGTAAAAGGAAGTTTATCCTCATCTGCTGTGATTCAGTTACTAATTCATTTTACTCAGATTGGGATTATCTCATCTCTGCTGAATGTAATATACCTTTGTTTTTACACACACGCACATTATTTTCATATTCAACAAAAGTCATGAACTTCATATTTATAGCTCATATTGGGATTCTGACCAAAGTTTCTCTGGACTGGATGTGGCCAAGTGGTTAGTATACCCAGGCTGTGAATCCAAGGATTTATGATTGATGCAAAAATGCACTCATACTTTGAGGCTACAAATGTGCAATAAAAATAACAGTCAAATCCCACTATTCAGTAAGAAACTAGTAGCCCATGATGACTAGCTGCCTTTCCTTTTATTTATCAGTTTAAAATTAGGGAGAGCCATGTGCTAACAACCTATTGAGTAGTTCTGTACAAAAATTATAAAAATAAACAAATTCTACTTGTACATTCATCACAAGCCCAACTTTTGATAAAAAACCCACTACAGGTATAGGCTACTTCTTACCCATTATAAGTTACAAAGAGTTTGTATAATGGCTTAATTCACTCATAATGACAGAAGCATTGTAAACTCATTGTTTTGATAATTCCTTTGGTTCAGTGTGACAAAAGAAAGTAAACTGAATCTTCAGTACAATATTTTTTACTTCCAATATATTTTAATGTGAAAAACAATTTCATTAACACTTATTTTATCTCTGTCAAGGTAGGAGATTGACATTTCAAATTCAGAGTACGAAACAATAATTATAATAATAGGACTAAAATTTACAAAATTTCAAACACTCAACCTCCTTAAATAAAGATATTAACTAAAAAAGTTGGGCTTTCCTAAACAATTTGACAATTAAAAGGTTAAACACTACATGGATAAATATACCGTTCACCACTGCATTGTTTGAGACAATGAAATACCATATGTACAAATTGTAGCTTACTTTTCTTACCCACATGTATTAAAGTTGCAGCATCAAATTTAAGGGATTTCTTGTATAACTGGTAATTGTGTTAACGTTCCACTTCCCATATCAGGTTATAATAATATAATCTCTCTGACATTAACAACATATCTTCAACATGATGGCCCCAATCAAGGGTGAAAGTGATTAACATAACCACAGGGATTTCTTGTATAACTGGTAACTGTGTTAACGTTCCACTTCCCCATATCAGGTTATAATAATATAATCTCTCTGACATTAACAACATATCTTCAACATGATGGCCCCAATCAAGGGTGAAAGTGATTAACATAACCACAGGCAAAACAAACCTATAAACTAGCTATGTATCAGACTAAAATGTATGCCCTATTATCTATAAAGAATATATATTTGTTACAAAAACTATGTGCTGTTTACAAAGTTGGGTCACAGCAATAACTAATAATGCTTTATAAACCAGTAATGAAAATATAAGGTACTAAGAATTACAAAAACATCAGTATAGAATAAAGGAATAAAAAAAACAAAGCAAATATGATTTCTAACTTCTTACCTTAGATCTAACCCTTCATTTTGCCATATACTGTCCATGATGTAAATGACCTGTAATGTCAACATGTCCTGACGCAGATCTGGAAAGTGATTCACTGTGTATAGTTAATTAAACAGACTCTCACACGATAGTTTTTCATAAACTACATCCACAACAGTCACTAGATTCTGATATGTAAAATATATAAACCACACAATAAATTTCATAACATACATCCACACAGAAGTCACTACATTCTAATGCGTAAAATACATAAATTGAATGATAAGTTTCATAAAACACATCCACACAGAAGTCACTAAATTATAATATGTAAAATACATAAACCACATGATAAGTTTCATAAAACACATCCACACAGAAGTCACTAAATTATAATATGTAAAATACATAAACCACATGATAAGTTTCATAAAACACATCTACACAGAAGTCACATTCTAATATGTAAAATACATAAACTGAATGATAAGTTTCATAAAACACATCCACACAGAAGTCACTAAATTATAATATGTAAAATATCTAAACCAAAGTTATAACTTTTAAAACACTATTTGTTTTCACAGGAATTATTCTGAAGACAACCTGATAAGTATTTCATAAAAGTTCTTGTCAAAGTTGATTACTCAGTTACATCACAGTTTACACCTTTAATCGCTTCCTCAAAATAATGTTATTCAAACTCCTTTTGCATGAATTGGCATTCATTTTAAACAACCTTTTCTTTACCGTCATAACTGTAGACGAACATGAAAAGTAACTTACATAAAGAAACATATTTTCTATATTAAAATATTCTTTCAAATTATTACAGTAATTTAAAATGAAGTTGTTACTTTATCTTTCCTCATGACTATATAATGCCATTTGCTGAAAATGTCATGATTATGTTAGTTTCTCTTGAAATTCTCATATCTTAATCACTGTATTTTTACTTGTAAGGTCTTGATGTATTTTCAGTTACTCATTACAAAAAATATTAACTTATATACATGTTTTAAAAGTATATAGTATTTTATTATTTTAAACATGACAATTTTTGGTTCACACTTAAAACTTGGAGAAGAGAATAACACAAAAAAATGGTCAATGATAATGTTCAGTAAGCTAAATATAACAACTGGTAAATGAACAGCATACAAACAATAAATCCTCATGTGGATCTATGCAAGGACAATATAGTGATAGTGTTAAATATAAAGCTACATACACCATACAAACAATAAATCCTCATGTGGATCTATGCAAGGACAACATAGTGATAATGTTAAATATAAAGCTACATATACCATACAAACAATAAATCCTCATGTGGATCTATGCAAGGACAACATAGTGATAGTGTTAAATATAAAGCTACATATACCATACAAACAATATATCCTCATGTGGAATTGTTTGTATTAAAGTTAACTAACATTATGATTACTTCAAAAATATTTCCATATTCTCTAAGTACATTGTAAAATTAAATATTTAACAGTAGAAAATTTTTCTTACCATCACCATTCTTAAAGATAATGGAATTAATCTTGAACATGCATTCCGACATGGGGTCAGGATTCTGCCAGACAAGCCACAAGGGTTTCTTAGCAGAATCCAGAATTTTGCATTCTTCCACACTGAAATACAGTACTTTTGTTAATTTGCAAATTGTACTCAATTCTGAAATTTTATATTGTTTATAAAAAACACATATTTCTTCACATATTCAGTTGATCACATTTACAGTTAGGCAAAATAAAACAGATTATTCAACCCTCAATTTTTAAGAACAAACATACAAAACAGTCAATTAGAAATGCACAAATTCCAAAGTAAAAAACTAAATACAGGCAGTACCTCCACAGTTTTACTTTCTATCTAATGACACACAGAGAAAAATTCTTACTTTTATAGCATACATTTTGATTCAGCACCAATTGTATTTCTAGTATCCAAAAGTAATTAATTACTTTAATATTTTGAGTGTTTAATGATACATTTTAAAATTTGTTACCACTGAGTACAGTTAAAGTTCATAAGATAGAGCAGTATCTCAGATTTTAAACAATTCACGTGTGAGAAACATATCATTATTGTTGTGTTGAAAATATATAAAAAGTCAATTTTTGTTCTTCGTTTGTTTTACGTGGATAAATTCTTCATCAATTGCTAGGTTTGGGAATCAAGTCAAACTAATATAAAAAGTTAAGATATCTTAAATATTATAACACCTTTACATCAAAAGAACATCTTCTGATGTTTAAATGAAACGACAAAGATGATATATTACATAGTATGTTTATGATTTGAATTGAGATTCTGTTTCCACTCTGTGAACTGCACAATACCAAACTTGCAAGTTTCCATTATCGTTTCAAATAAGTTCCAATCAAAAACTTTTAATTTTATATTTTAAATTTTTTGTTTTTAGTTTTCTGCCTACAGAAATTCAAAATTTTCATAAATATAAAATACAACTTATTGTTCAAGTATTTCCAAATAAGGGAACAATTTTATGCATAGAATTACCAAAAATGAAAAGTTATGAATCCAACACCACAGAAGATATTAGAAACAACTACTGCACATTATATTAACACAGTCTAAATCTAAAAATAATTCAAAAGAGGGGTTTAGTGGCTTTAGAAAAACAATATCAGAAAGACATTCTAAAATAATGTTAAATTTGTTTTGAAATGAAACATTAAAAATTCTAAACAAAATTTAACTCAAAATCAGTAGCAGGTGAGACGGACTTCAAAATGATAACAAGGTAAAAGTGCAACAGAAAAAAAACAACAACTATTCACAGAAGTCTGAAATGTAGACACAAAATGGGTAACTGAGATTCTTATCTGAGCTCCACCATTGGACCATCTTTTGGTGTTAATATGACGATCTCAAAACATGCTGATAGACAAAGATGAAGACAGGATGAGTAATAAACAATCTGGTAGGAATTATTTGAATGAATCTATTCTGGTGAAGCGATTAGTTTCAATCCTGGTAGGTAGGAATGGTTTGAATGGATCTATTCTGGTGAAGGGATTAGTTTCAATCCTGGTAGGTAGGAATGGTTTGAATGGATCTATTCTGGTAAAGCTATTAGTTTCAATCCCATAATAAGACTAATTTGCAAAAATAAAATCATGCAGTTCATATCTGCTTCATTAACAGTAGTTACTTACATAAGCTTTCCTAACATCCTACTGCTGTTAAGAGGTGAGGGAAAATTTTGAAGAGCTTCCAGGTAATCGTTTTGTTTAACTTGCTCATATAAAAACTTTAGACGCTCCTAGAGGACAAAAAAAAAGAAAGGTTAAAAACTGTTTTTATCCTGGTATGTAACCTATAGTTAAAATATTAATGAAGTTTAATAAGTATGACCATCATATAAAGATTCAATAATAAAAAAAGAGTGCCAAGGAAGATCATCCTTCCTTCCTTCAAATGTTTGAAATCCAACAGTGTAAGAACACAAGAAGTAAAATTAAATACATACAAAACAAAACTCATTACATCAAACCATACATTTTATTATCTGACCATATTTAACTAGGTTGAACCATAATGCTTTATTCTAAATGACACATGCACCGTTCCTTTTTTCTTTCTGAACTTTTTGGTTAAGATATTCCTCTCTACATTCATTACCAGCTAAACTCAAAAACAAAAAATCTAGTTTCAAAATAACTTTTTAGGAGTTTGGACACATTCCACGGATCCTTATGGAAATATTTCACATTTCTAGCTCACTCCTATCGCTAAGACAAAACTATAAACAGATCAGCACATATCATAACTTACATCTATTATATGATCTAGCACCTCATAATTAACTTGATGTTATTTCATAAAAAAATTTATAAAAATCAAAACTATTTTTATATTTCACACATTTCATAGACTAATGAAATTATAATCATTTTTATCACTGACATGCTGGCCCATCTAAATGGATTTGTACTAAAAAAAATTAGCTACTCATTAAATACATTCATAAACAAGCATTTTTCAGCAACAAAAGACATATGAATAATACACAGTTTCAGTATTCATCTTAAAATATAACACAAGTAAACCAACCTTTTTGTTTCATAACACTGACCACTCTTTGCCCAGTTCTTTTTAAAATCATCTCAAAATATATTAGATATTACAAATAAGCCTCAGATATTTATTCTTTAATCTTTATTACTCCAGGTATAACTACTACTTTTGATACTTTCAGTATTTAATCTTGGAGCTTCTGTAGACTTAAAATGTACGTTTCAAACATTAGCAACTGAATATCAGCATCAAAATCATGGTTACACATATCAGTAGCCATAAATAATTTTCTTAATTAAGTACCTGCACAGATGTCAAAGGAAAATTCTCCCAAACAATATCCATCTTTAATGCATAAATATGAGGATTCAGCAAAATAACATCTAATATAACAGAGAGCAAATAATAATGATTAAATCCAGTGTTTTATTTGCTGTCACTAATTTCTGTAATGAATAGTAACCAATTTCTTTTTGTACTTCGCAATACAAAACTTTAAACTGTGACATCTGAGCTGCCAAATCACATCTAGATATGTTGTACAACTAATCATCTTAAAATAATATTTCAACCGTAAGAAGTTAACCCTTTATTCATGCTACATGTATTAAACTTCACATTTCACGAAGATAATATCACACCTACATCAAACTTCAGACAATATTTTACTCATTGATAATTGTGACTTTTATCATTTCAAGCTGTTATTTATTACTTAATATATTTGTATAATTATTTTCACTCTTTTTTACTCCAGTATTCTCTACAATACATATCAAAATACAAACATTAACATTATTAACATATCATACTTCTTTATAAAGACAAGAACACAAAAACGTTTTCATAAGTTAGGATGCTGAAAGCAAATCTGTTCAAAAACTACATCATATTCATCAGATGACAATGCTAATTATTACTCCACCATTTCAGAGAAGTTTTCTTATAACAGACCAAATCGATCAAAAGAAAAGTAACATGTCACACACACACACACACCAGGTTTTCTCTGAATTCAAAACTGTGTAACTAAACTTGACTTGATGACTGCCCTAAAGAAAGGTTAACATATTATCAATAAAGTTTTGAACACGGGGAAAAATAACTGTAAATGTGCTACTTCTAAATTCACCCACATTTTTAAAAGATATTTCAATAAGGAAGTTAACCTTTTGTGTGTCATCCTTTTTTTCTTTGAGTGTGTCAGTCAGCTTGGTCAGCTTTTCCAAAGCTTCTACCTGTTTAACCACCGTTTTCAGGTGAGATCCGAGACCTCGACAGTAAGCTTCAAGTAACAACCCAAATTTGGTAGCAACTGAAGGATTGTACATTTCTGCTCTGCTCATGGGGGGTAAAAACAAAATACTATGTACAAGAAGTATCGTAACTCAGCACATCGTGTTAACTTTTTCTTCATTTACAGTATACAAATGAATCCAATTTAGCTTTCTCCCTGCATAACTTAGAATAACATGTTCAAGTATGCATACATATTACATACATTTAAAGATCTGAAAATATAAAAACAAAATAGACTGAACATGAGTTTTATCTCTTTATTAGGTGTCAGCTTGAAAAACAAGCAGCATTTTTAATATAGTACGCAAATAATCAAGGAATGATTAAGTTTCTATGAGAAGTTTCAAGTTGGAAATAGAAAACTACTAATTATCCCTTCACCACACCTTGCACTTCCTTTTCCAGTGTAATTTTTACAAAATACACCAAGTTCTTTCAGAATCACTTATTTACAAACAAAATACACTTTCTGCCCCTTAATGTCAAGCTATTAGATGCACCTATCATTTCACTTTGATCAAATTTGGATTTTTAGCTTCCTAATCCTAATCAGTCCAATCAATTACACAAAATCGTAAATTTTAATTAAAATTTTATAAAAGTATTTTTAATAGTGATAAGGAAAAAAACTGAGATATTCTAAATATGATCTAACACAGAATCCCTCTTAACCAACTTTAAAAGTATAAATATTACCAATGTATGGGATTAATACACTTTCTTTGTGTGCAGCTACATCACAACTAGTGTGCTTCACATATTCAGACACGTCACAAAATATTGTTGTAATAACACCTATAACTCACAAGACACATAGAACATCTACACCATTATTTGACAAAAGTCTGTGTGAGTGTGTATATGTTTGTTTATAACTGGCAAACAACTCGACCTATTGACACAAAACCTGCCACGTAACCTTACAGCCTCCTGAGGAATGACATTGGAGGAAGTCAGCATTCAGATCTGACCGTCCATCACCACACAGGGCCCTATATCTTCCTCGTGCATTGAACGGATACATCAGCTAGCCTTCTTTATAAAGCGTTTCATTCTAAGGCCTACATCGCAAAGCAGTGGAGCTAAACTCATCCATGAAACAAAAAAAAAACACTACTGAAAATTTATTTTTAAGCCAAAAGAATTACTTATCATACAAATAAACTACATGAAAACTCATGATGCAACATGGTAACAAATGATGATATTCAAAGCTTTGAAAAATCTTTATTACCAGACTAGATACTTGGTCCACAACTGCATCACATTATTCATTAACCCTTTTGTGACAGACTCGGTATAAAATACATGAGTTCCTATGCACATTTCTACACGTTAAGTATTTATACTATAACTTTTAATGCTGTATATGTATCTTCACAAAATTTGGTAGACTTTTAGTAATAATTACAAGTCTTTTGTACACAATAAGTCAGATTTTTAATGAATTATTTTACTAAAGATTTGTTTGTGAAAATATTGAGTCTTTTCGTTACTAGTCCAAGTGCAAGGTGATTTTCATGTTATGATTAAAAACTATTCTTCGTCCCAAAAATCTCAAATATTGTTTGTGTAATCTCTAAGACCTCCTAAATACACTTCAATGTTTGTTTTCAGTAAAACTTTATATTTTATCTGTTATTTTCTCTACCATAACTCTATACGGGGTCAATCAATTTGAACGACCTCATAGCCACCATAAAAAATTAAGAAATAAATATAAATTATACTTTTTTCATTCTAGAATGACAACAAATTATAACACAAAAACACAAAAGTTTAGTCTAAATACCTTAAATTTCATAAAATTATACATTTATATATATTTACTATTTTTATTATACTGACCTTCTAGTCGTGCCTGACTAACATTAAAGAAGCTGCAATGATGCAGTGCACATGCACTCGTGTTATTGTATCCAAAAATATAAAACTGGCCTTTACAAAGTGACCTGTCTTGGCTGTGTTTTAGTGGACTAGTATTTTGTAAAATACAGTCATATTTCAGTTATAATACATTATATATGTATATGCATTATTACTATTTACAAATAAGTTCTTAAACTTATTTCTTGTTAAAACACAAAACAGTGAATAAAAAAGTAAAGCAAACAATTATCTCTTCTACTTACGAACTGTGTACTCATTTGCTGCTTGCCATAGGTTGCTAAACATTATCGTGTTTCACACGTGGAGGATATGAAACAAAATATTTTTTTCTGTTTTATATATATATATATATATATACTTTTGAATAACTACAAAAACCATAAATTACTACAT